TAAAAGCACTCCATTAATATATGGAAAAAGTAATAGATAAATCACAGAGATTTTTACAAACTGTAAGCCATAAATCTTGAAATGATTTCTTAGTGCCATAAAACCTTATTCGTTTTTTTGCTGATTTAGAGAATACAGACAGTTCAAATTTAATAACTCACCTCTTATTACAAATCCAAAAGTGTTCCCCTCTTTATGTAAAGTAACTTCTACAGTTCTAAAGATGAGACCTGATCCTTGTACAGCTAAAAGAAAAAAAAAAAAAGGGAAAAAATTCCCAAATTTAATTATTATTATTTTTCTAATTATACACACAGATTTGCGCCTCTTCCAATTTAAGCTAGCTATTGGGTTTCTGGTCATACAGTTGGAAAGACTCCACTACAGAACAGTCAGATTAAGGACCTGTAATTGAATACAACTCATTCTCTTTTTGAGAGAATTTTTCGCCATATTTTGCAGGTTGCCAATGGTTTGGAAGATGAGCCATAGATGCATATAACAGATAAGCCTTACTGTTTAAATCGTGGCATAATTTTGCTTTTCTTATCATTACAGAAGAGAGCTAGAAGAGATGGAAATACACAGTGAGACACGAAAATGACAAACGAAATTCTTAAAGCTACCTATGGAATTGGTTGTTCAGCCACGAAAACATTTATTTGTATTACTTCAAGTCAAGACAGTCGAGATTTTTAGGGTGTCTCTCTAACCTCAGATTGCTAGATTAAGATGAAAAAAGTATTTTGTATCATAAGGATTTTTTTTTTCTTTTTTCAAAATGTAACATACTCTCTCATCATTGGTAAATGAGTAAAAAAATCTTTGACTTTTAGTTGAGTCAGTATTTTCTCTGTAAGCACTAGAGGAGTGGTGCCCAGCTGGGTTAGCAGGTGAGAAGCCTAATGCACAAACCAACACATCTGGGTGTGATAATCCACTTTACAGAATTTGAAACCACCGCTGTTAAGAGACCAACGGCCAGTCTGCTCTTAGCTTTTATGGGAAAAACTTTGGCAGGGTGTAAGAACTCCCTTTTCCAAAGGGAAAAGGACACTGGGCAAAATCACACGCACGCACACTTCCCAGCTTCCAGTAAGATATTGCAAACAGCACAACACACATATAGATTAAAAAACCCAACCCTCTATAAAATAAATGTTCTGTGAGCAGCAGAACTAATGAAAACATATGTCCCTTAATGCTCCCTGACTGCAATAATCAGTTTCCCTGGTCCCTGTTAGAGATACCCTGAGGGGGCAATGGACACCGCAGGCTACACAGCTGGGGAGGTGCCTGTTGCCACCCACGAGTGACCCCAAGGAGAAGTGGTGCCTCTCCTTCTGAGGGCTACCCTGCTCTGGGACCCTCTTTTCTGCCCAAGTGTCTATTTCCAGGAAACATGTTGTAATGTACTTTTTTTTTTTTTCTGGAGTCTTTTCAATTCCCTGTTAAAAAAGTTACTGCATGGAACCAGAAGAACCACCCGGTGAAAACACATAAATCTCGTTTCCTTCAGAAAATAGGCAAAAGATGGCCCTCCAAAGCATTGCTTTGTACTGCAGTAACTCCTGCCACAGCATGAAGATCAGGACCGTGTTACTGAAGTCTATGTGGTTGGTTCCTTTGCAGCTAGAGATATTTTACTGCCTGAAAAGGACTGAACTATGGGGAGGAGAAGACAACTGTTGCCTTCATTCCTATCAATTGAAAGTGGCCCAGCAGGTAGCTCAAGCTGAATCTATGCATCCTAATCTGCTTGGTGTGGCTTGTAACCTCCACTGGGAACAAGCAAAGCCTGTAGTTCAGCAGCAAGGAACAGCATGCAGTGTCCTTCCACTTGGGCAACAACCATTCAGGTGGCTCCTTCCGGTGCTCCTTCCACCCCAGCCACAGCCTGGGAGGGGAAAGAAGCCCTTAACCTTTAGCAACAACAAAAGGCAGCCATGACTCACATTCCAGTTGAAAACGTTGAGGTGGCTCATGCTGAAAATAGCAGCTGGATGCTCCTGCTGTTGAACACTGCCAGACAGGGAAGGAAGCACTAGGGAAAGTGGGATTACTAGTGCTCAGCCAGATTTAATCCATCATTATTAAAGTCCTGACATTTCCCCACTCTGTAACCACGGCAGTCCTCTCTGAGGGGGCAACCATGAGACCAACAGTGGAATTTCATTACGTATGGGGAAGGGAAGGAGGAGCCAGGACTTCACCACCTGACCTACTGGAAAACTTCTGCGTATAATGAAGGCACTGTGTCTAGCTTGTTCACTATAAGTTGATGGGAACAACTAGATCGCTAATTATCTCCGAGTTTATTAGCAATGCTTGTATGAAGGGGTCAGAAATTCTGAGGGCTTAAAGAAAAAAGTTATGAATACTACTGTAATTTAGCCATGTCAAAATCCTGTTTCAGTGGGCAAGAGTAGCACATATGCCAAAAGCAGCCAAAATGGAAGGAAGCCTCTTGAGTAAGTGCAAAACAATGCTCATGAAACAACTACACCTGCAGCAAAATAATTCTGAACTCAGCTGACTTCATTAACTCAAATACTGTGTTTCTGAACATGAAGTTCCCTTACCACAAACAAACACTCATCAACAGAGAACATTCAAAACATATTAAGGTGGTTGTCAGAGGTCATAAAAGCAAACAAATACATAATTAGGCTAACTCTCTAACTGACAAAAAGCAATGGGGAGTTCATCCTCCTCTGAGCACCAGAGTGATGGATTTTTTGGCTTCTGTTGCAAGGAGAGTCTTTATTTAAGGAGACAAGAGCTTCCTAGCTGGCTCCACAGATTCTTCTGGCCAAACACCACCAAACGACATCCAGTAAGCAGCGTGAAGGAGCACTCAAAGCTGCGACTGGTGCAGCCCCCTTGGTACCAGCCAGCGACCTCCCGCTCACTCCTTCACTTTAGGTCCCAGGTTTCCAACTCACCATTTCCCTAGCTTTCACTTTATACCCGATAGCCTCAATTCCCACTGATTTTCTCCTACAGGCACACTATCACAGACATAGAATCATAGAATGCTTTGGGTTGGAAGGGACCTTTAGAGGCCATCTAGCCCAACCCCCCTGCAGTGAGCAGGGACACCCTTAACCAGATCAGGTTGCTCAGAGCCCCGTCCAACCTGGCCTTGAATGTTTCCAGGGATGGGCCTCTACCACCTCCCTGGGCAACCCGTTCCACTGTTTCACTACCCTCATTGTAAAGAATTTCTTCCTTATATCTAGTCTAAACCTACCCTCTTTTAGTTTAAAACCATTACCCCTTGTCCTGTCACAGCTGGCCCTGCTAAAAAAGATTGTCCCCATCTTTCCTATAGGCTCCCTTTAAGTACTGAAAAGCTGCAATCAGGTCTCCCCGCAGCCTTCTCTTCTCCAGGCTGAACAACCCCAGCTTTCTCAGCCTGTCCTTGTAGGAGAGGTGCTCCAGCCCTCGGATCATTTTTGTGTCCCTCCTCTGGACATAAGCCCAAAAAGAAAGAGCAAAGAAGAGGCGAGGAAAGCATTCAGTAGCACGCTCTGACTTCAGCACCAGCATAAACTTGTATTTTGAAGACAGTCCTGCTCAGTGAGAAGCCCTTGTTTCAGTCACACAGTTCTCACAGCTTTATGTCCGCATAGCCTACCCCACTGGGTCTTATGCTCTAGAAAGGAGGTGTTGCCTGAAAATCATGTCAGAAAAGACTGGAAAAGTCCCAAAATACATCATTTATCTGCTAGAGCAGGAGGGTGCTGCAAGTGGAGAGAAGGAAGGAAAAGGCAGAGGCAGAACTCACAGATATTCATTTGTCTCGTCTCAGACCTTACTATAACAAGAAGGATTCTCTTGCCCTGGAATCTATTAAATCTAATTCCCAGTATTCAAAACTGTAAACAAACAAAAAACCAGTGGAGTTCTCTGCCACTGGCTGGAATTGTGCTCCTAAACCACCTGAGCATCTCTGAGAGCATCCCCCTGTACTGCCAGTTCTTTCATACTGCTTCCACGCTCTGCAGTAAGCCAGAAGAGAAAAAGTATAAGAAAACAACCACTATAAAAAATGAAGATCACCAACCATGCCCATCTCACTGCTGACAACAGTGCTATGCTATTTGCATAGGTTTTAGTTTGCTCTGCTATTACTTACAGACTGGAGGCAGCTCATACTCCACTTCTAAAACAACCCTCTCGCCAACATTCTTGAGCAGGCTGATGATTTCATCGTGGCGAAATTTGGTCAGGTTGATTCCATTCACAGATTTGATGTAGTCGCCTACATCCAGCTGGTCACTCCTAGGAAAAAGTACATATTCCTTTTGTTAAAGACAGGTCAGCTGGCTCAAACTAACTAAATCCTTTAAATTACTGTATAGTGATGGTAAGAAATATTTTTCCATTCATCTAGATTAAAACAAGTTAATCTTTCAAACAGAAAGTGGCATTTTAAGATCTTAATCTAGTCTAGTTTGTTAAATATTAAAAGAACATTGTTGCATTATTAATTTCTGATGTACAAAACCAACTGTACAATAAAGGAGTTGGATGACTTGACTGGTTTGGGCACAGGATCTGGGAAAACATCTTCATGTCCCTATCTTTCTCTCTCTCTCTTTGGGAAGCATCCAAAACTATTTTTTTTGGGCAACAGTTGCCTTCACAGCTAACATCACAGCTAGAGGAGACAGGCCACAGCCTAAAAGCATATGTTCTGCTCAGTTACTCGGAATGATTTAGCTTAACCTCTCTCTTTTGATCGGTTTCACTCATGAGTAACAGCTTTTTGATTTCCACTGTAGTAGTAAGCAAGGTAGCTAGGACTCTAGACTTCTTTTTAATCTTAAAACCAGTTGATGAACATTTTTTTTTTTAATTAAATTATGGTCATACTATGGTTAGGCTTTCAATTTTACTTTTTCCTCTGAGTATTTTATGCTTCTTCTCTCAGGTTTTTGTTCAAGGACACAAAAAAGGAGAAATAAAATTATATAATTTAGAAGAAACTTAATTAGTCTTATGATGACTTTCAAATATCTCATTGGTATTTCTAGTTTTTGTCAAAGTAGCCTTGAGGGAAGAGGGGAGCCAGCTGTTGCCATTTCTCTCTGAGCTTCTCTGGTCTGATGGGCTGCCATTATAGATGCATCTAGTCACATATTTGTTAGTGACCTTTCCGATGCGGTATGTATTTCTGAAGCAATCACATCTTATAATGCATTTTGTGGCTCAAGATGGGGTTACCTAGCAGCGATTCCTCCTTGACGAAGGTTAGATACTCTTGGTTTCCCATCCTTGTCGATTCCACCCGATACTGTAAGCCCTAGGGTGGTGCCTTCTTTTTTCATTAATTCAACTATTGTTGAGCCCTTGAATTCCTCTGTTGAAAGAAAATTATTGGCATTATTAAAATTTAAGCGATAACACAGATGTTGCCTTTCTAAAATGTCATCTACTTTCCAAGAAAATCATTGTGTATGTTAATAAGAAATAATGTGTACGTCTGGAGATTCTTTATGTTACAATTCACAAGTTCTGACAGCAAGGCTCTGCATATAGATAAATCTGACACATATGTTCTGTAAAAGGTTATTAAAAACTATACCAATGTGCTAGTGTACTATACAGAGCCAATAAACACAAAGTCTGGCAACACTTACGACTAAAGGTAGTTGTTTCACATTTTAAAAAAGCTATCTTTTCTCATTTTCTGCTTTCTCCCTCTGAATCCTGTGTTTTATAAAGTACTTCAACTGATTAACTAAATAGAAGGGTAAAAGACACAATGATATAATGGTACTAGAGAATTTTACTTCAGACTCACTTTGAGGCCACTAGTAGGTGTCAATGTTAATCAAAACAATTGAACATAACAAGAATCCAGATGGAGATTAAATGTATCAGATCTTAACAGTTTTATTCCTTATTCGTACACAAATAGATCTCCACTATAACTCTCTGAAATCTCTGCAGAACAGGTACAAAGTAAGTGAAGGGCTTTCATAGTCAGAGTCACATATAAAATTTCCCTCACATGCTGCCTGGTACGCCCTCTCCTGCAGTTTGCCCATTTAGCATTCTCGGAAAACGCCAAGCTAATCTCACAGACCTCGGACAAATGCAGGTCACCTGCAACGGAAAGCCTTGAGCTCTCGTAAAGAGATGTCCTTATTGCACATGGCTGGACAAGGCAATCTCCATATGCACAGTTCCAGCGGGGCCACAACCGTTTGGAAAACCATGAGACAATCACACCTCATGTCCAGTGTTTCCAGTCAGAGAAGACCTATTAAAACCACCAGCTGCCAAGTATTCTGGAAAAAGGCATGAAGTCCTAAAGATCCACCTAGAAAATGATGAGATCCTGGCAGGATCATCCATCTCTCTGGTCCTTTTCAGTGTTAATATGCAGCTTTTAGGTGAATTGGTCAGATATAAACATCATATACGCACTGTAAACGAACAGTATGTCTGCACTGCACTAGCAATCTTGCTGTGGCAGCATGAGATTTAAAGACGAAAAGCCACCCAAAACCCAAGCAAGTTCTTTACATACATTCATATGATGTGCACCAGTAAGGTCTAGCATAAGCACTATACAAACAGCAACAAGGCTCTATCAATCCCTTTCATATGACTAAGAAGATGACATAATACATCTTGACCTCAAGATGAGGAACAGCTGCCCTGAATGAGAATTGCCAAACCTGAGCAAAACTGAGGTAATGGTGGTGGGCAGAGGAAAGCAATCCTAAGAGCCTCCAACCCTGGTGGAGTATCCTGTAAACCTTGGTAGTACTTCTAATAGGGTTAACTGCTGAATCTTCTGCAAATGTAGCATTATCCTATGCGATGTTCCTGCTCCTTTCTAGGTGTCTGACAGGCTCTTCTTTCCGTTCTAGGTGATGATGACCTCACGTCAGTTATTCACTTTTTTACCGTTATACAGCATGACTTAAGTGCTTGGCCAAGAATTCTTCTATGCTTATAAAGCTTCTACTAAGACAAAATTCTGCAGTGTATGCAGTCAGCAGCATGGGTTATTGAAATGAGTATTTAAAACCTGTAAGGTGTATTTGTAAACAGATAAGATTACAAGAGACTGTGGGACTAAAAAGGTGCCTCTATCCAGTCAGAAGCAGACAGCAGCACAGCTACCTAGTGCATTCTCCAACTTGGCTGACACCAGACCATCATTTGGTGTCACTGGGAAGCTATTGAGCTTCCGCAGTGTTTGCTCACATCTGGCCTTTTTGACAGTTCAGAAAGAACAGATGGGATTACCCGCATCTGAACATGTAGACATCTTGCACAGCTCTAGGAGACACTATGGACCAAAATGCTGCTTTCAGTTTTATAAAGACTCGTAAGTATTCGTAATGATTACAAGAGTTAGTCATGGTACTTACTGCTAATAGAAATACCGCGCATCTGCACCCATGATGCAACCCCAGGTGCTTGGCTGGTGTGTCACACTTGGTTATTCAGGGTTTACTTGATCGTGAGATCTGGAGCCAAAAAGAAAATTCCCCTCTCTCCCCCATCTCCCAAACCGAATCCTTCCTTTGTACTTCTCAGTGGTACAATCTGGTTCTCAGGCCCATCTAAGATTTTTTTTTTTTAACAAATACTTTGCTAGAATGTGTACACAGGACGTCAAAAATGCACTGCATATGCCTAATCTTTTGCCATAGCATAATACCGCCACGTGTTTTGATCTTTTATATAGATTCTGAGCTGGCGGTCCAATGCTGGGGAATCCTTTGCAGCCTGAAGTGATATGTACAACAGACGGTCCATGCAGGGCTTTAAGCTAGCTAATGATTATAAAGTTCCCTGCAACTACTGGCATGGAAATTAATGAGCAGGCTTGCTCCTTCTCACCATCTACTCTGACAACTCCGTATACCTCTGCCAACAGAACATGGATGACTAAACACTTCCTTGGTAGGCAGGAGGGAAAGATGCACCGACACTGTAAGGAGTGGCAGTGTGAAATGCTCATTGCTAACTGACAGACAAGGTCACCTAAGAGCATGCGACAGTTTCATTAGGTTTGCACCTCTGAAAGATTTTGTAGCTTTTGTTGTACGTAATCATATCAGGAAGAAATTAAATTATGTAAGCTGGTTTGGCTTGTAAGTGACTCTTCTCCCTGGAGGTGCTCTGAACCAGGCCTGTTTGATACCCCAGTCCCTCAATTTTTCATTTTTGCTTTCTTAAATCGCACGTGATTACTGTTCTTATAATGCTATATATTACATGTTTACTCATCTGCATTGCTTCAACACGATTATTACAGTCTAATCCCACTGGAGTATTATCGAAATGCACAATATCATAACAACCCTGGGACTTCATTTCCAATCCAGCAAGCCACCGCATCTGTACATGCTATTCCCCAACCAATGCAAGGTCAGTCTCTATTCTCTAGTTAACACAACGCGATGTTACTCTTTGCGAGTTAAAAATCAAACTACTTCATGTATCACCTCACTCATAATTCATTACTTATGCCAACCAGCAAACTCCTAATTAGAAGTCTCTGGGGCCTGTTCTTTTCTATGTTTGTACTCCCACATTGCTAGTAACATTAGCATAGCCAGCATCAGACGGGTAGGCAAAGAAGTTATTTCCAGATTTCTTATAATTTATGAGTAAAACAGGGATTGAATTTACAAGTCTTTTGCTTAGTGGTAAACTGAATATAGAACATGAGCTTAAGAAATGTCTTCTTACTCCATAACAGTTTATGAAGGATCAAATATCAGAACACCACTCCTGCAGTACAGCTCTGTGATATGAACCAAATGAATTATTCTAAAATGAAACCATGAAGAGAAAAGATGGTTCCAAGTCTATAAAAAGCCCAAATCAATACCATTTTACACTTCAGTTGGAGAAATGCACTTGAGAACGTCTTCCCCTTCCACCATTAACAACTCCAGCAGCACTCAGCAAAACGCAGATCAGACTGGGTCCTGCGTTCCCTCAGCCTGGGGAGGGTTTTGGGTCTCTGGGTGGTGGGATCAGCACTCGGGACTGCCACTGCTTCCTGCTGCTGCGGGGGTGATCCGGGGCACACATCTGTCCGTGCTGCACCAGTCACCCTACAGCTTTGATGGCATCTGCCTACGTGTGGTACAAGGCTCATGAATCCCACCAAGTACTGGAGATGGGCTTGACAAAGGGAGAGCAAACATGCGTACTTGTATGCACACACATACTTGTACGCACATGCAGACAGAAGATGGAAAAGTGGCGTTTGGACAATGCCCTTAATAACATGATTTAACTTGGGTCAGCCCTGAACTGATCAGGCAGTTGGACTAGATGATCATTGTAGGTCCCTTCCAACTGAAGTAGTCCTTGTCTGGTCTCTTCTCAATGTTCTGCTCCAAAGAGCTTCATTTAGATCTCCAGTACTGTAAGGTGGAGCATACATAGCAGCTGAACTCTGAAGGAAACATTATGCTGAGGCTGTTTTCTTAATTCCTGGTCTGGATGCTTCTCTTAGGTTCGCTGCTGCAATACCGTGACTGTGTGTGCCTGACTGGCAGCAGGGTCAGTTGCTGTATCTGCTCTGTAACCTGGAAGACTACAGGGATACTCAACACAGGACAAGAAAATTTCAAAGATAAGCAGGTACTCAAATACCAGACTGGGTAAATCGTACTGTAGAAAGATGAATAAATGGAACAACTTGCAGCTAAGTAAAATCCAAGAAACACAATGCCAAATTATTTTTTCTTCAAGGAAAACAGTATAATGATGAAGCTGAATATGCGGAAGAACTTCTTTACTTTGAGCGTGACCAAGCACTGGAAGAGGCTGCCCAGGGGGGTTGTGGAGTCTCCTTCTTTGGAGATATTCCAAGCCTGCCTGGACAATGTCCTGTGCAACCTGCTGTAGGTGACCCTGCTTTAGCAGGGGGGTTGGACTGGATGATCTCCCGAGGTCCCTTCCAACCCTTGCGATTCTATGATTCTGTGAAGTTCCTAGAATTTTATACATGAATAGACTTTTTGTAATTTCCTGCCTTTTGATGTATGCAAATAACATGTTTTAATGAATAAAGAGCATGGAAAATAAATTGACTCATGAGATTTTTGAAACTGGAATATATTAACTTCTTCAAAAAGAAGATTAAATACTAGACTACAGAAGAGATTTTTTTCACAGAACAACATTTGAAAACTGAGAGAACTCCTAATCAAAAGTTTTATCATCTATTTTCTATATTCCTACAATTTTGTACCTTGATTTACTTATTAAAGTAAAACTGAAAAACATTTGCCTTCATTCCAGATATTGAATGTCTTTTCTGGGCCTTCTGTGAAAATTTAATTTTAAAATCCAAGAAAACTCCTAAAATCCACA